GAGAGGCAGACCTTGCAGTGCCGCCTGGTCCGGTGGCCCTGGGAAGTGGTCTGAGGTACTTCAGATGGAAAATGCCTGGCTGTAAGGCGCAGAGGAGTGTCCAAAGCAGGACGGCCCACTTTGGATGGACATCGGGATGTGCTGTACTCCTCCAGCAGCCCTCTCATTAGGTTGTGAATTGAATTGCATGGAGGTGATTTCCTTCCCTATTGATAGTAGAGCACATCAATGGGGAGTAATGAGGAGGATGTAATAGTAGGCTATGTGAATGTATATTTAGATTATTATTGTGGATTTGTTCATTACAGTTTAGGTTATTATTGTGGATTTGTTCATTACAGTTTAGTTTACATTAATTGAGTTTAATCAATTTGATCTTGTTTATAGTTATTCTTTGATGATTTGTGTAAATTTCTCACCAGTAAGTTGCCGGTACACTATTTGGCTGTTGAGTACAACTGTATCAAGTAGGTAAAAGAAAACCTTCTTGTACCACTTGGTGGTCTTTCTGGCGCACTCAAGAAAACGTACTCGGTTACTAACGTAACCTCGGTTCCCTGAGATACGGGAACGAGTACTGCGTCGCTAGACGCTACGGGAAACTCCTTTTCTCCGATTTACTGAAGCCTTTTTTTCAATCACAGCATCTGCACTGCCATTGTTTCAGAAATAAACCAATTATGGTGCAGCGGAGCTGCGCGAGCCTATGGCGAAGCAGCGCGCCCGAGCCCGCCAAAATGGGCGGGGCATCTGGCTATATAAGCAGGTGCTCGGCATAGGATCACTGATTCATAACGGCTGAAACGACGACAGAGTCGTGCAGCATCATAGCACGGCTAGCTACGCAGTACTCGTTCCCGTATCTCAGGGAACCGATGTTACGTTAGTAACCGAGTACGTTCCCTTAAGATACTTCACTTCGTACTGCGTCGCTAGACGCTACGGGAACCTATTCAATCACATGAGAGCGTGCCGGAAGGTAAGCCCAGACGTGGGAACTTCAGCGGGTTCGAAACATAGTCAAACCCGGCAAGGATTAAAGCGTTTTGAGCTCAGAGAGACAGTTAAGCAGAAAGGACCTGAGCCTGCAAAGCAGGGACGTCTAGGCGTCTCAGAGGGGAGAGAGCCGCATCTATGCACTTTGTAAAAGTGCGTGGGGCCAGAGACAGCATGCCACTCCCTCGAAGGCGAATCTCAAGAAGCACCTGTGACGGGGGGCTATCTGAATGTGAAAGTAAGCGTCTTTCAGATCCAAATGATCTTTCTGAAAAGAAAGCTATCCACGAGTGCAAAGAGGTGAGACTCATGCTCTCGCAGTGGTAGCATGACGTCTCAATGAGCACGGCTTCTGCGTGTGATTTCCCCAGACATCGCACGCATTCACTGTGCCCGTCATCAGCGTGCAGTGGTGTCCTGCACGAGCCACAGCCGTGGCGCGACATTTGCAACAACGTCGCACCTTGAGAGTGAACAGAGCTGATTGAAGCGGCGATCTGATCCGGTGCTGCAAAGCGGCGCGCTGATCAGTGATCAGTGAGAGCGGCGAGCTGCGAAAGGCGAGCTGTGGGCGGCGAGCTGCAAGCGGTGAGCAGAGAGCGGAGGCGGCGAGCTGATCTTGCTGCTGCAGAAT